CCTTTGAAAATGGGTAACTGTGTGGGATGAGTCTTCAAGATGACCCCTAAGATTGGAGATTAATTTAGCAATCAGTTCGACTTTTTTTAAAAAACTTTTTAAAGTTTGCAAAGTACAAAGGCCCATCACATTGTTTTAGTTACAGCTAAGATTTGTTACAGCATTGTATAAGAAGGAACACTCATTATAAGGACGTAGGAGTGTATCTTAAAAGCTCATTGACCCTATTCAACATCCAATATATCAAGTTTCAGTAAACACTGGGACGTAAATTTCCTAGGAATTTTTAAGAAAAATCAGGTTGCTCACAAAAGACACGCCAGTTTATAAGAGGGTTAGAATTAAGAAGGGTAACAGTAGATTCTGTGCTTACAGAACTAATTGTGGAGAACCAGGAATAGAAAACTTCAGCTTGAGATACAAGCTGGAAGGGAAAGGTAATAAAAGGGAAAAAGTACCAATGGATTGAAGAATAATGAGTCATAGTATTCCAATGAAGTAGTATCATTCCAATCCTGATAACATGATTTTAATGTAATTATTTGACATAATGTTTTAAACTATATAGTTTATGTAACATATATTTCGATGTAACATATTAAATGTGCAGCACTGAGGCAAGGGCAACAAGCAGAAAATCTAATTTTTCCCCTCCTACTACAATCTAAACCTGCTTTGTCAAATCTTTGTCCCAATCCCTGGACTATATGCTAGACATGCATTATAGCTTTTCTTGTTACATTAGGACATTTTGGAATGTCTCATTTTTAGTTATTAGAAGTCCAATATGACCCAAATCAGAGTTTCCTATTCATTGATCCTCTTCTACTCTTTTCTGCCTTCTCTGATTTTAACTAAATATTTTGATTCCAATTTCTCTCCTTAACAATCAGTTCAACTTTTTTTTTAACTTTTTAAGTGGCTGCCCTTGAGTTTGCGAAGTACATTTACAGCTTATCCAGGTGCACTTTCAAAAAACACTATACTACTTCATGGGTAGTAAAGTACAGAGTATTTTTAATTCTTCCTTTCTTTATGTCGATCCAAGTTTCTGACTTACATCATTTCCAGCTCTTTGAAGAACTTAACATTTTTTGCAGGACAGGTCCACTGATGAACATTTCCCTCAGGTTTTGTGTGAGAAAGTCTTTATTGTCCTCTACTTTTAAAGGATATTTTCACTAGATACCGAAGTCTAGGCTGATGTATTTTTCTTTCAACATTTCAAATATTTTACTCCACTCTCTTCTTGCAGAGTTTCTGAAGAGGAGTCCAATTTCATTTTTGTTTGTTTCTATTCTGTAGGCAAAACTGTTTCTCCCCATGTTTCCCCTCCTCCGCCCCCCACCAACTGGCTTCTTTCAGGATTTTCTCACTGACTTTGATTTTTTGCTGTTATATACACCCAGGTATAGACTTTTTAGTATTGTTTGGAGTTCTCTCAGTTTCCTGGATCTGTGAGTTTGTGTGTCATTAGTTTTGGAAAATTCTTGGTCATTATTACTTCAAATAATTCCTTTGCTCCTTTCTCTTCTCCTTTTGGTATTCCCATTATGAATGTTCAGCTTTTGTAATTTTCCCACAGTTCTTAGATATTCTGTTCCATCTTTTTCATTCTTTTTTTTTCTCCTTGCATTTTGGTTCTGGAAGTTTCTAGTGGCATATTCTTAACCTAGATTCTTTCCTTGGCTGTGTCCACTCTACTTATAAACCCATCAAAGATATTTTTTCATTACTGCTCCAGTGTTTTAGATTTCTAGTATTTTCTTTTCTTAGTATTTTCATCTTTCTCTTATAATCTACTTCTTTTTCTGCATATCATCCACTTTCCTCCTACTTCATAGGCTAAAGTGTTTCCATTCCTCTAGATTGGTAAACCCTCAGGTGATTAGGCTCTGGTAAAATAGTTTCCCTTAAGGGCAGGGTTTGTTAAAGAAAATAGAGAGCTCTGGGCATATTTCAAAATGGCCACTTTTCTTCTCCCACTGTCAGAAGAGGATTTTTGCCTGATCTTCACAGTGAAACCTGGCAGGGCTCCTGGAGGTAAAAACCACAGAAGTATGGGTGCTACTCTCAACCCCCAATTGTGACTATTTGGAGTTTTTAAGTCCCAAGCTAATGCACAATGAGCCTTCAGTAATTCATCAATTACAGTTTAAAGTGTACCTACCCATACTGGCTCCTGCTTCCTGTTTCTGCCCCCTGTAAGCTACACTTCTCATTAACAGCTTGTCTGTCTTCCAAGATTGGGGAGCAGTAGTGTTCCCTGTGACCTGAATTCTCTGATGGATTTAGGAAAGTTGTTATTTAGTTTGTTCAGCTTCTTCCTTGTTGAGAGAATTGAAATGACCAATTTCTAAGCTCTAAACTCTTTACATAATGGACTGAAAACTTCCAAATCACTAAAGTCCACTTTCCAGCATAGGCCTGACCCACAAAATATGGCTGGAATGAAGAGGGTATGATATACTTTGTCTTGCATCCTCTACATTTTCCTTCTCTATGTACGCATTCTGTCATTTTGAAGTCCCTCAGGGTCAGCTCAGGGGAGGGAAGAAAAGCTATTGTAAACTGACATCAGGGTCCCTTCTGTAACAGATGCCCAAGTGTTAGTGCTTTCTTTCATCAGGTACTTGGAGATTCACCTCAATCAAGGGAATCCAACACTGCTATTCCCTGATACGTAGTATGCCAACACCAGCCGGCATCTCAAAATACCTATGCAGATCCTCTTCTGGTAGCTTACTTCACAAAACCTCATTCTGCTGGTTTTTTTGTTTCTCCTTATTTCTACTAAAATTGCTTCTCTCCTTTTTCAACATAATTCTACTAGTGTTATGAGTTGAACTGTGTCCCCAAAAAGTTACAGTGAAGTCCTAAGCTCAGCACCTCAGAATGTGGCATTATTTGGAAATAAGGCCATTAGAGAGGCAATCAAGTTAAAATGAGGTCATTGGGTGGACCCTAATTCAACATGACCAGAGTCCACATAAAAAGGACAAATTTGGACACAGAGGCAGCACATAGGGAGAATACCATGTGAAGATTAAGACAGAGGTTGGGTTAATGAGTCTACAAGCCAAAGGGTACCAACGATTGCCAGCAAACCACCAGAAGCTTGGAGAGAGACGTGGAACAAATTCTCCCTCAGAGGCCTCAGAAGGAACAACCATGCCTACAGTTTGATCTTGGACTTCTAACCTCCAGAACTATGAGACAATACAATTCAGTTGTTTAAACCACCTAATTTGAGGTACTTTATTATGTCAGTCCTAGAAAACGAATATACTCAGTGATTTAAAAACATGTATACTACCTGTTGGGAAACCTTGACAGTTCTTATCTCTTTACTTAGTCATCACAGGCACTCTCAGTCTCTTGCCTTTAAATATGTCCAGGCAAGACAGTCAACAATCACCTTTGGGGCTGCTATTTCCCAAACTCTAATTTTTTATCACCCTCTTCCCCAGTGGCAGCATGGGATGGCCAGGGGCTAAATCATGCAGAATCTTATAGGCTTATGATTTTTATTCTGTGTGAGTAGGTAAGCTCTTAAAGGTTTGAACAGGAAAGTAACAAATTCTATTTGCATTATTGGAAAGATAATTTGCATGATTTACCACAGTTGCCAATTGAAGACTAGGCTGTGGTGAGGGAAGAATAGAAGTATGTGGAACAATTAAGAGACAATTACAGCATCCAGTGAGGACTAGAGTGGTAGCTGTAAAGGCGGTGATAATTGGTTAGACCTAGGATACCTTTTGAAAAAAGAGCAAACAGCTGTTGAGTGAGTGGATGTATAACATGAGAGCAAGAAGAATCAATCCATGGATGATCTGAAAAAGTTTAAGAATCAATGTGCTAGTTACTTAGAAAGATATACAACAGGAACAGGTTTGGGAGATAGAGAATATAAAGCTTGATATGCATGGTACATATCCCAGTAGAAATGTTTAAGAAGTTGGATATGTGGGTAAAGAAATCAAGCAAGTCAGGGCTGGATGCAGATATTTGAAAGCGAGCAGGATACCAACGTTATATAAAAGACAATGAAGGGAGTCGATGAGATCACTGGGGGAATGAGAGTAGATAAAGAGGGCAAGAGGTCTGGGACATACACACTAACACCTAGAAATCAGGAAGATGCAGCTAAGGAGAATCAAAAAGAGCATTATTTTCATTTAAAAGTAAAATTAAGAATGTTTCAAGTTTCAAGGAGGATATGATTCAGTGTGTCAAGTGCCTCTGATTGGGTAAGAGGAAGACTTAAGAGTTGTCCCTTGGATTTATCAGGATTGAGTAAATGCCCAGATACCTACATACAAACTCTCCTTTCATTTTAACATTTAAACTAGCTAAGAGGTCTCACGTTCATGCTTAACATCATGTATTCTGTACTTTGTGGGACATTAAGGTGATTTTCGTGGATAATTTTTACTATCAGAGATTTTTGCCATAAAGGCTGAGTTTAGAACCAAACTCCTGTTAGCGATGTGACACTAGCTTTCTTTCCACAGCTGTTTCCCATTTATCCTAGTAGTATTGAAGGTATAGGAAAAAGAGCAGGATAAGGGAACTTAGCTTTCTATACACTATCACAATTCAGAGTTAAATTCAATCTTCTAAATCTAGACTTTCCCACCTCCCGTCTTTTCTAGAGTTTAACTGATCAGGTGAAGACGGATAAACCCTGACTGGAAGAGAAGGTAATTAGCGGCATGGGCACTCTCGGAATCTCTTTTTAAATTCCGCTTGAAGAGCAAGGCTTCAGGGTGCCTATTCTAAAGTAACCCAAGAAGGGGCATGTCTCCTTCAAACAGAAGCTTCCAGGAAGGTCGAGCAGGGCCCACGAGGAGACTAGCACGACTCTCACCCACCTCGGGGGCTCCCTCTCCCAGCCCACCCAGAGCCACAGGAACCCGTCCGGCCACCACGCCCCGCCTATTTCCGGCTTGTCGCGGCCGCCGTCGTCGCGTGCGCGATGATGTTTCAGTCTCCTGTGGACCCCGGAAGTGCAACTCCAAGTTGGTCGGGCTCGGATCCCGAGAGGGAAAGTCGTAACAACCGCACGAGGGAGTTCGACTGGCGAGCTGGAAGGCCACGCCTCCTCTCGCCTACCCCCGCAGCCCTGTAGCTGGGGGCAGAGCTCAGGTAGGACCTGCGTGTGAGGGGACGGAGCTCCGGGGGCAGGTCCGGCCTAATTCAGAGGCAGTGGCTGGCCTGGTGCGTCTGGGGCGGGAATCGCTGGCCTTGGAGCCGGAGTTTGCCCCGAGCCATGCTACGCTTCCTGCGGACACCTCTGCCCTGTGTCCCGGACTTTGCTGATGAGCAGGTTCCACCTGCCATTTCCACTTCCGAGGCAGGGCAGGACACGTGTGTTCCCTGGATGATTCTCCTTAAACCCAGACACAGGGGTTCTGGGAGTCCTGAAGACCTAGAGTATGGGTTCTCCTAAGCTTTCTCAGGGAGGAAAGTATTGCAGTTTCTAGTTGAAGAATTTTTTATACAAAAATTATCAGCTGCCAAAGCTTTATCAGAAGGCATTCACTGCAGACTGAAGATTAAATTGCAGTTACAAAATGCTCTCAAAAGTTGTGACACGCATAGGCACTGGTGGGACGTTGCACTGGAATTAATTTAGTTGAATACTTTTGACTTTGAAATGAAGTTAGGTATCTTTTGGGAGCAGCCTTTTCTCTCCCTCATCCAAAGATTTAACATATTCTAGTGTACCAGCATGTGTATCTGTTGGGCCAAGTACATGGTTACTTAATTATTGGCTGTATTTATTGACAGCCAGTGTTCTTGCATTTGTCCATTTCCTCTGAGAAGTTGTAGAGAGAAAATCCTGTGATTTTCAGACTAGCAGGTGCTTTGTAACTTTTATCAAAACAGGTGCAATGTGATGTTTGTTATGCAATACATGGTATCTTTTTGTCCTAAAGCAGTGTTAGAGGTAAATTCTTTATCCTTATTCTTTGTCCTGCATCATGAAAGACAGATATACTATACTTACTTAGTGTATTTAGGACCTCAAGAAGCACTGTTTGAAGTGCTTAATTAAGGTTTTTACTGTCAGTGCTGGTACCAGTCTTCTGACTTGTAAACTAGGTGTTCCTTCCACTTAACCAGTGTTGGTGAAATAGTATCAAGGCCAAGAGGGAATATGATCTATCTATTAATTCATTTAATAAATATTTATTGGCCACTTTCAGTGTGCCAGTTGGTGTTCTGGGTGCTGTAAAACTAGATAAAGTACTATGCTCCTGAGTTTACACCGTAGTGGGTAGAGAAAGAAAATTAGCAAGTAAATATATTAAGTAGCCATAAGAACTGTAAAGAAAAACCAAGCTCATTAAAGGGAGAAAGAATGATGGAGGATATTATTTTAGATAGGGTGGGTAAGCTTAGCCTCTCTGATTAGGGAGGGATAGGGAATATTTGAGTAGAGATCTGAATGAAATGTGAACAGGAGTTCTGCAGGTATGTAGGGGATGGGTATTTTAGGCTCACAGAAGGCCCTGAGGTAAGAGAATATTTGTGTATTTAGAAAAAGCAAGGATGTAGGCATGGAGGCATTAAGGTTTAAAAGTCTCAAGAATGAATATTTATTCAGTGATTTGGTGTATGCCCAAGGGATTTTTATTGACAACCTATTTTTCTCATCTTTCCCAGATAGACCTCTATGAGGACAATCTGGCATCCTTAGATATGGAGAGATGTTTCCATGCTCTTCATTAGCACTAACAAAATTAAGCACCATTTACTCAGTTGTACATAATTTGTGATATCTGTTTTGAGTCAGATTGGGTTTGCACAGTAGCCATGAGTGACAAAATAGCATGTACTTCACTGCTCTATGTCACCTTTACTTTTCATTCATCTTTTTTTACTGTGGTAAAATGCACATCACATAACAAAATTTACCATTTTAACCATTTTTAAGTGTACATTTCAGTGCTATTAAGTACATTCACACTGTTTTGCAACCATGAGTGCATCCATCTCCAGAATTTTTCGTGTTTGGCAACTGAAAATCAGTACCCTTTAAATATTACACACACACACAGACACACACACACACGCTTCCTCTGCAGCTCCTGGCAACCAGTCTACTTTCTGTCTCTAACTTTTCTGTCTACTCTAGGTACCTACTATAAGTAGAATCATTCAATATTTCTCCTTTTGTGACTTGCTTATTTCATTTAGCATGATGTCTTCAAGGTTCATCCATGTTGTAGCATCTATTATAATGTCCTTCCTTTTTAAGGCTGAGTAATACTCCATTGTATCTATATACCACATTTTGTTTGTCCATTAGTCCATGGATACTTCTGTTGCTTCTACTTTTTGGCCATTGTGAATGCTGCTAGGAACATGGGTGTACAAATACCTGTTTAAGTGTGTGCTTTCATTTCTTTGGGGTATATACCCAGAAGTGAAATTGCTGGATCATGTAGTAATTCTTTATTTAATTGTATAGGAATCACCTTACTATCATCTGCAGTGGCTAACTATGTTACATTCCCACTAGCAATGCACGGAAGTTACAGATCCTCCATATCTATACCAGTACATCTTCACATACATGCTAAACACAGTTTCTGGTTTTTCAGTAATAACCACTGTGGATAAAGTGAAGGTTCCTGGAGCCAGGATTCTCACTTGGCCCTAGTCAAGCTAGCTCACTACATACGTGTTGGCGATACGTTGTTATTGACTCCATATAGAGAGCCCTGCTCAGGGCTCTGCATAACACAGTGGCATGGTTGCAAGGCTACAGGAGAGCAGAAGCGAGACTGGAGTGGTGGCAGCACCAAGGACAGAGACTGAGATGGCTGCAAGGGTAGAGTGGCCCAGAGGCAGAGACTGGCTTGCTGCAAGCTGACTTGCTTTGAGTGGTTGGGATTCTAGTGATTGACCATCCACAGTGGAAATAAAGTTGGGTATAACCCTTTCACCCCAAGAATGTCCTACTGTCATTTCTTTGGTCACATTGAATCCATAGTGGACTTGCCCGGGGCTGAAACCCATTAGCAAGACAGCCATCCTAGTGGGTGTGAGAGTAGCATTTCCTGTGGTTTTGATTAGCACTTCCCTAATGATTGGTGATGTTAAACATCTTTTCATATACTTTGGGGCCATATGTATATCTTTTTTGGAATGGTATTCAGTTATATTAAGGCCTGATTTTAATGGAAATTTTTAGAGATTGCGTGTGTGTCTGTCTGTCTTTTAAGGGTTTAGATGGCAGTCAGCACATCTTGTGTTGCCTTTTTAACCCTTAAATACTGTGATTGTAAAAACTTCAGTTGTCTGTAGACCAAGTATCTGCAATTACTCCAAACTTGGAAATAGAAAAAACCATAAAGCATCTTTTGTAGTGAACAAACCTTGGAGTATCAGATTGTGATGGAAACTGTTCAGAAGAGCCAAAGATCATCCTGGCTTGCTTTGTTGTTTTTAATTAGAAGGAAAAAAATGTATCAGTTGGCTGACTGTTCCTGTGAAGTAGAGCTCTTCCATTTGGTACTTGAAAAAAGCAGGAAACAGAAGAGACAAAAATGATTAAGAAACAGAGAAAGAGGTGTTGGGTAGCTGCTGGATAGCAGTTGGATGTGACTAGGTGGAGACTGACAAATCAGTGACAGTAATGGACAGTAAGCAATGGGCAGTAAGCCTCAGAACTGATGCTGCGGAGGAGAGGGGATCCAGCAACAAATTTACAGAAAATAATACAGCTCTACAGACTGGGATGGGATGGGGCAGCAGCCTGAGAGAATGCAAATTACCTGCTACATCTCAGCATGTGGTTCTGAGGTCAGCCACTTGGCCTTGAGTAATTCAGGAAAACCTACTGTATATCAAATAGTGTATGTCAGTCCATCTGGTTCAGCAGTCAGTATTTGGAAGGTGGGCAGTGTATACAGTCCTACAGGAATAAACTAAGTTTTCCAGACAATGTATTATATCATTTTATCCATAGGTTAGTGAGGTATAATGGAGTAACGAGTGTTTGTGTAATTTAACAAACATTGTTAAATTTGTTCTTGGAATATCTGTTTAAGAAGGAAAGGAATTTTTTTGCCCAGAGTGACTAATGGCCCATTTCAAGGTAACACATTATTTTTTTTCTAATTTTTAAAATATTGAATGTTTTGTGTACTATGATCATCTATTAAGTACTATTTAGCTAACTTTCAGTTATAAAGCTCACTTAAGTTGATTGCTTTAATTTGAAGTAATGAAAATTGTATTACAATTCTGCCTATCACTTTGGGAAATTAAAATAGATTAATTTTCTACAGGTGAGGTGGCAGATGACTACTCAAGGCCTCACAGCTAAGTTAAAGACAAGATAGAAACAGTAGTGTGGTGGTGCTTTCTCTGATATAGTACTGTTGACTCCTTTTGGGGGGAATAGTTCACTTTTGCAGTATAAGTAATATAGATCATTTCTGCTGTAGAGAAAAATATCACCGTGAAGACAGATGACTGAAGCAAAGCATTTGTATGTTTCCATTTCATTATAGTAGATTGGATATTTCTTTAAAGCATAGTCTAAGTTGATAATGTACATAGGGTCAGTTTGCTCAGAGTTTAGAGAGGTGCTAAGAGGATTAAAATTTGGGCCCTTCTAAGGCTCTTTGATAAAAGCTCATTACAGGAATGATCACAACCAAGTAGTGCCCAACGATGTAACTACTAAGTTCTGTGAGATGTAGCTACTTGGAATCCCCTGCTAATCACATTGCCCTCATAGGTGATCCAGTTTAGGAAAGCAGCAGGAAAAATACTATATGCAGCTCAACAGACATGCTGCCTCTTTTTAAAAAATAATTCAGAATTAATATCCAAGGTAATGGAGAAATGTGAGTGATACCCTTTTCATCTGCGAAGCATAGCTTGGTTTTATGTATCTTGTTTAGAACATGGGACAAGCTGGAAGTGTAACCAAGATTATAACTCAAGGTAAGGTATTTAAAAAATTTGAAAAGCTTGATTACTTGATAGGTGAGATGCTCTCTTGATATGAATTACCCATTCCTCTTGATAGCATTGTTTTTTGTCTATACTATGGAAATGATTCTGGTACTAACTCAGGTAGTTTGAGAATCAATCATCTTGATCCATTTGGTTTAAAACCCTTT